CCCCAAAACCCCAAAACCCCAAAACCCCAAAACCCCAAGTGACTCAATTTATTAAAAATAAAAGGAAACATTCCAAAATAAATAATAGTTCTTAATTAAATGCTCTATATGTTACTCTGCAAAATCTCTGCTATCATAAATAATTTCTTTTCTTAGCTGTATTCATATAGGGTCTAAGTACCCATTCCTTCTAAGCATCATTGAGATCAACAGTTCCTAGTACTATCTAATATGGTTTCATTTCAAATCTAGGTCCCAGTTCTTTTAATTACACATTTTTGTGGTCTTCCTTCTTGTAAACATGATGCCTGAAACTAATAAAATCCTCATCGTTCACAAATGACATGACTCTCTTTGAGTCAACCTTAGGCAGAGGGAACAAATACTTTAGGATGTCTGATATTCTGTCACCTAGCTTGGTATTGAAATTCTGGAATATCATGTGAGGGTAGGCTTCACTAACTGGGTCTACTTTGTCTTTAAGATCGTGTCTGAGTACTACATTAGATAATCCGAAGTAGGCAGTTGGACCATATGGCATATGACTTACTATCAAACCATCTGGCTCACCTCTCGTTTCATGCAAAATGATCAGATCAGTGATATTATTAGTCTGGCAGATCTTTACCAAATCCTTTAGCACATAGTTACCTCTGTTCATTCTCACTGAGTTGGGAAGAATCAGCTTTATCTCCTTCTAAAACTAAGTCAGTCTCTAACTGGCAGTGCGAGAGGTAGTTACCAAGATCTTAGGATCACGGTACTTAGCTTCCTCGTATTCATCATCAATATGAGATCTTGCGACAATAGTTTTATCATCAGCCAACTCCAAATCATGCATTAATTCATCTTTGTTCTTCTTAAACTCAGTTGGCAATTTCCTATCGTTCTCAACTGCCTTCTTGATCTTCATTAACTTTTCTTGATGTTCTTTGTCCTTCAAATCTTTGTTTTTGTTAAACAAATACTCTTTTCTCAATCTGATGTTTCTTCTAATCATATTTAGTATTATATATTTTAAAGTATTTTAATTAATTGATCAACTACAATTTCTGAATGTGGGGTTTTGGGGTTTTGGGG